TAATAGGTCTCTTCTGTAGTTTATTTGTTACTCACTAATTACACTCCGGGAAAGAGTCTTGAGTAATACATAAGAATGGAGCAAACTAGACAGCCCCGTTTACACCCAACCCCTATCGCTCATATAACCATCCAACCTATATTTAAAACTACCCAGTGTATTAGAGTTAATGATGATGTTTGGTAACTTGTTCTACTCATCCACTGCTCTATTTCCAAACCAATGTTTACCTATTTCGCGCCTAAATCAAATTTTTTTTAACTTAAAACCATTGCTACGAGTTCGCTCCTGGTTGGATGGTTTGAGTACCTTTGTTATACCACCTTTGTTTAGCCCTGGTTTCCATTTATACACATCGATCATATCGCCCCTTAATCTACGTCTCTTGAGGGAGTGCAAATTAAGATGCTTTAACCTGTGTCTGTACGCAAGGTTCCATATGCCCGGGATTAGTCTTGTCATTCTCCTTTGAATTCTCTCAAAGGATTCTATATCCATTCTGTAGTACGGTGACCAGAACTGAACCGCGTAATCCTAGTGAGGTCTCACAAGCACAATATATAGTTTTAGGATAACTTCACTAGTCTTGTAACTAACAAACCTTTGTATGAACCGAAGTACTTTGTTAGCCTTGTTTCAAGCAAATACGCATTTTTGTCTTTGTTTAAGATTCCTGCATATCATTACCCCTAAATCTTTCTCTTAGTCGGATTTCTCCATAACAACGTTCATCTGATATTTGTCCACATTAAATTTCAACTGCCATTTTTCAGACTATACGATTATTTTTTAGATCTTCCTGTATTTTTACGGAGTCCTCCTCAGATTTAATTACACACCCTAATTTAGTGTCTGCAAATTTATTTAAGTTGCTTTTCACACCTATATCTATGTCGTTTATGAATATAATAAATAGTAATGGCCCATGTACTGATCCTTGGGGTACTCCTCTAGTGACGTTATCCTAATCGGATTTAGTGCCGTTAATGCTTACTTGTTGTTTCCTGTCCTGTAGCCACGCCCTAACCTAGTTTAGAATATCTTCTCCAAATCCACGAGCCTCCACTTTACGAATTAGTGCCCATATCTTCCCCTAGCAGTTTAAAGACTTTGATATCCTTTGAACTTCCCTTTCTAGAGACCCAACCAGGGTTGCCACCCCATCCCGAGACAGGTGCACCCCATCCCTAGCATAAAGGTCCCTTCTGCCGTAGAAGTTGTCCCAGTTGTCAATGAATGGGACTGATATTGACTTGCAATATATGTCAAGACGGTCGTTGACACCAACTGCCCTTGACAACCATTCACTGCCAACTCTCCTTCTAGGCAGGACACAGCATATGATAGGGATCCCTCCCTTAGTCCTAATACGATCTATAGCTGCCTTGAACTTATCAAGAAACTCCTCGCTCCTACACCGGCCAATATCATTGCCTCCTGCACTGAGGCAGATAATGGGTTTGTTCCCATTACCACACAAGATATTGCCCATCCTGTCAATTATATCCCCCACCCCAGCTCCTGGCAAACACACCCTCATTCAATTTTTGTTTTTACCACAAAAAGCCCTGTCCAAGTACCTTACCTGTGAGTCACCAACAATTAAAGTTTTTATACCTTCCTTGTCAGCCCTGTCCCTGACTGTACTAACGTCCAATTCGTTTATCAAGGGACTGAAAGAGTTGGTACACTTAGCTGTTGATGTCGTTGTTGACGTATCCTTGGTGTGTTTTTTCATCACCAGTTTGGTCTTCCCTCTCCTCACAACCTTCCACTCGTCTGAGTTATCGTCAGACACGGGCTTTCCATGTCTCGCCTCTTCCTTCATCCTTGCCATCTCTTCCTTTAATTTCATCCTCGCCATCTCTTCCTTTAATTTCATCCTCGCCATCTCTTCCTTTAATTTCAGGTTCTCCAAAGTGACCATCTCCAGCTTGGCCAACAAACTCGCACACCCCAGACCACGCATAGCACTGGCCATATCTGATAATTATCCCTCGGGAGCTAACCTTGCCGTGACCTTTCCCCTAATGAGGTCAGAACACAACTGAGTGAGGTCAGAATACAACTGATTGCTACCCCGCCTCTTTTTCCTAATCTGCCTATCTGTGTGGAATAATTTGTAACCTGTAATTTGATATTCAACAGGTAACTCTCGTGAGTATGGTTATCCATGTTTCGGTGAATGTTGTTATATAATTTTTTCGGTACATACCAATGCCCTGATTTCATCCATTTTATTTTTCATACTTCTACTGTTTGCGTAGTCGACATTTAGGTTAATCGTGTTCTGGGTCCTCTCTTTGACGCGTTTAGGTTTTAACTCTGCTTTATTTAGCTTTATCGTCATTCCTAGCACGATTTCTGTGTAAGCTTTTCGTTTTGTCTACCCGCGCCCACTGCAGTATCCTCATCCCCCGTGCTCATATGTTCCCCAAGCAGTTAGAAGACTTCGACATCTTTTGAACTGCCCTCTCGAGAGAGCCAGCCAGCGTTGCCACCCCAGCCCTAGATAATTGCACCCCATCCCCTGCATTAAAGTCCCTTCTGCCATCGAAGTTGTCCCAGTTGTCAATAAATGGGACTGATAATGACATGCAGTATCTGTCAAGACGGCCAATGACACCAACTGCCCTTGACAACCATTCACTGCGAAGTCTCCTTGGGTCAATAGCTACCTTGAACCTATCAAGGAACTCTCCACTTATATACTGGATAACATCGTTGCCTCCTGCACTGAGGCAGATAATGGGTTTGTTCCCATCCTGTCAACTATATCACTCAACCCAGCTCCTGGCAAACACACACTTATACTATTTTTGTCTTTATTACAGAATGCTCGATCTAGGTACAGTCCCCATCACTAGTACGTTTACAGTGGCTTGTCATATAAACACTCCACAAATTATAATTTGAGATATTTGTTTTAATGTTGTTTTAACTTGATTCCATGGTATGTTTACTGTTGCGAATTTCACTCTATCGAATGTAAACAAACACAGCGGTGCTGCATTGCACAAAATCTGACGAGCCCCTGTAAACGCAATAGTGAAGGGGACTGTACCTTACCTGAGCATCCCCAACAATTAAGGTTTTCTTACCTTCCTTATCACCCTTGTCCTTAACTATCTTACATCCATTTCATTTACCAAAGGTCAAAAAAAAAGTTAGTACACTTAGCTGCTGTCGTTTCCTTTTTGGCCTTCACCACCACCACCCTTGTCGTTCCTCTCCTCACTACTTTCCACTGGTCTGTGTTATTATCAGACACTGACTCTCTCCGTCTCGCATCTTCCTCCTTCATCCCGCAATCACTTCCTTCAACCTCAAGTTTTCGCCCTTGACCTTCTCTAGCTCAGCTTTCAGAGAGGCATAGAGCTGTTCAGAACTAACACTACACATGGTTTCACTGTCAGTTAATCCCCGGGAGCTAGTTAAGTCGTACACTTCCTTGTTCATTGGTTGTAAGTTAACTGTCTCTCCCTGGAAGTGTCACCTCAGAGGAGACATGTTAGCAACCTTGGTAGTCAGCGTTTAGAAACAATGACTTCATTAGGGTCTTGAGAGGATATTGCTTACCTCAGGTAAGATTTGTTGTGGCTAACTGGCCCACTCGAGTATTGTGCTGATTTGGCACTTACTGACATTTTTTTTTGGTGCAAATTGTATATAATGCTAGTGTGCTGAAACATAAGTTGTCATTAAGGGTGTTACCTTAAGTTTCTATAATAGGTGTTGCCATAATTATTCATAGTATGTTCTTATAATAATGTCATATATGTGTTAGTTGTTGTTGGTAATACTGTACAGTATAAAAATAACTATCAAGCAATTCGTGTGTGAGCTTTGATGTCGTATATCAAGGTTGTGTTGACAGCGGGAGGGCGTTTATAATTGGCCGTCTGCAATTTCCCTTGATGCATAGCTATGTAAACATCAGTCCTTTAACAGCTATATTCTTCATCATGTATGTTGTGATATGTTTTAGCGTGGTATTAGTGCTCTCGACTTAGGTGCATGATTCGGGATCCTTAGACCTGTGTGCTGTTCAAACCATCGTTCATATAAGGATCTAGGTACAGTTTTGACCACTAATGGGATGGATTTTGAGTAACTAGGTTCAGTTTGGTTCGGTATTGACCGTGGTGACAAAGTAGTTTTTAAGTCAAGGTTAGTTTTGATTACTGACTGGGTGGTTTTGAGTAGTTGCAATTTAGATCACTAAGAGGTTGGTTTTGAATTAGTAGAGTCACTTTTGACTACTTACAACGAGTTTTCAGTGAAGCGAGCATAGAAATTAATGTTAACCACCTGTGTGTCTTTTAGTCTACGTGCAGAATTTTTTATTACAACAACTTGGGACTAGCAAAATATTTACACTTGGTAGTTGTATACATCACAAGAAGATTAGATTTCACACAGTTGAGAGATCAGTGTGTGTGTGTGTGTGTGTGTGTGTGTGTGTGTGTGGTAGAGAAATAGCCACCTGTTGTGTCAATCTGAAAACCATTTTAACAACATTTATATGGAAGCCCTATGATAAATGTTATAATAATTGGTAAGGTAACTAAATATTCTATTGTTTGAGGAAGAACTTATGTCACAGCCATATTGTTCATGAGTTCTGTAGTGGAGAGTTGGGTCATTTTACTAATGAAAAAGTTATCTTCTTTGATAGTCTTAAGAAATTGTTGAACAGTTTTGAACATTGTTGAACATTTTAATGATCTGGTTAACCTTACCTGTGTGTGAGAGAGAATGGGGGTACAGCGGAAGGAATTCTTTCGGCCTTGTAGAAGAGGAGCACTGTACCCTAACACGTATGATATAATAGTTAAGGAGAATGAGAGCAAATGATGGGAAGGTCTGTACTGCTCTTCCTCCCGGCCACCACGTGAGGGGAAAAAATAGAAATAGCTGATATAAATGAACAAATATGAACAACACCATAAAGTTTCCTAGGCCGTGTAAGTAGGCGGGTAAAAGAAAAACAACAACAATTACAAAAATATCATAGTTTTATTTCTAACATGTATGTACAGTCACTTCGCACACTTGAGTAGCAATATTGAAAATGTTGCAAGGACACCGTCGTAATGCAGGCACAACAAAATGAGATATGTTTTACGAATCACGATAGCACACCTCCCGGTTATGGTACAAAGTCAATCATCCACACACCGCGCGCTAACTGTCTCTGAGGCTCGTGGGGGCGCGATAGGGCTCAGAATAATTGTTAGGTTGCTGCTCTACAGTACCTCACTATCGTTATGTTTGAAGATTTATATTATTTATTGTTTTAAGTGTAATTTGTTAATAATTTTTTATGTTTTATGGTTGATGTTTTTACGAGTATATAAGAAGATTTTTGTATACAGTATTTATTGAGAGCTTCCAGCATTGATTCTCAGCCTTATCGTTGCCCCACATTATCGAGACTCACGGTTAGCAGTATCTTACTTCACCCACTGATATATGTATACATATGTATAGATACGTGCATGTATGTATACATATATGTGTGTGTGTAGACATTTGTATATATGTTTAATCTTGGTCACATTACTCTGTAAAGGTTCATCAGTGAATCACACTGTCGGCAAGGCTTCCAGCGGTCGTCACATCCACCACCAGTATTACGAGATGTTCTACATATTCACCACACTCCTCTCTACATTATCACACACTTGGCAGTCTCTGGTCGAGGTAATCTTAAACCATGGCAGTTTATGTATAGTTTAACTTAACGTTTATGAAGATCAGACAAGAAAATCTCTTCTAGGTGTAGCAGAGTCCTCTAGATGTTATTACTACAGTAGGATTTTTCTAGGATTATGCACCTCGGTATTATGTACACGTGGCACTAACGCCATCCACAAGTATCACACCAAGAACATCCAGAAATGCTGTTTGTATCGACAACCAATAGCGTCCTTAGTTTGTCAAGATGTTTGTCTTAACGTGACAACCACACACTTCACATCTAGTTGAACTTAGAAGTGCCCACCCTAACAGTCACACTTCACACCAAGATGAACCAGAAGTGCTCATCTTGACACTCACACTTCACTTCACACCTAGATGAACTAGAAGCTGAGACACCGTGCCACACGTCAAGGGCTTGGACTGTCACTACGTGTTGTAGATATAAGGCAAAGTGTAAAGCAACTTGTGAGGAGAAGTCTTTTATAACAAGGCACAAAAAACTCATAATATTGGGAGTTGAATCTTTCAGTAATATTTTTTATATTTTTTCGTCTTGTTTTTAACTACTCATAAACTAGAAGACTTCTGCTTTGCAACGTGAACTAGGGAACTCCTTTGCAACACAAGCAAGTCCCAGTTGATTGAATTTCCTCAACATAACGACTGAGGAGACAGTGTGCAGGACAAAGTCACAACTGGAGTTTCCTGGCAGTGCAAACTTACACAAACTTGGTAACTTGCACAATACGACCCATGAGTCCCCCTTTGAAGCACGGATGGATGGGACGACCCTGAACCTTGCCCTGTATTACTATAATTATTGAATGAAAACAGCGACACGTTACATGCTCAGAAAGCCAATAAAGTTGCACCCTGCAAGATGAAGAGTTGTAGGTCAGCCCTTCAGAGAAAAATTCATGAACTCAGGAAATACTTTTTTAATTTATAATTTTAGAACTCTTGCAAGATTTAGGTGCTATTTAAAGTGTTTCGTTAATTATTGCAACCCAGCCAACTTATCGTGCGGTAAAGAGGCGTTTGCTGCTTCAGGATGATAGCTAGCGTGTGACAATGATTATGATTGGCCAGTGTGTGTGACTAAGATAATCCTACTATTAACCAACGTATGACAGGAGACGGCTTCTTGTAGATCAAATATGGCAGAAGATTAACAACAATAACTTGCCCATGCCATCATTCACTTAACCTACTATAATCTTTTCCAAGTCACACTCCTGCTGGTGCCATCCACGTTGGTTTTACGAGTCTCTACCACAGGCGGGGATTGTCATCATGCCGGACTCTTAAACGGTGCCTGTCATTTATTAATAAGTGAACTGTGAAGACACACAACCTTTAACATCATCTGAGCATGTCGAAAATGACCTTCAGAATTTTTAACGTACAGTAAAAAAAAAAAAAATCGCAAACATCAAGCATGAAAATTGAACCACCATGGCTGCCAACTGCTCCAAGGTCTAGTGAATCATTGCTCAGGCTGCCGACTGTTCCTGCCTCTTGTTCTTTTACAAGAATGTGACTTTACTGTTTAAGAGTTTGCGATTCATCTTGACTAAGTGATTCAAATAACGATACACGGATGAAGCACCTTTAATAAACGTGTAGGTATCATGAGAGGCGGCAGGCGTTCGAGAGTACGATATTTTGTTATCACAAAAATAAATAAAATGAATTCAAAGCCTTATAGGTAATGCCCCGCGATTTCAATGCCATATTAAGTAGTGATCTAAAGTCCAGGTGCATGGTACCAATATGGTAACGTAGAGCAACTCATGGTAGTATGGTGCGCTATGACACCATTAAAATAGTCTTGGAACCGTTACTAATTGAGCCTTTTTCATCATCATGGTGACTGGCCATGATGTCACGGGTTGAACTTGGCACCGTTACTTGTGCCTGTCACGATCATGATGTTGAACCCAAGCCACTGTCTATACTTGGTGCCTGTGCGGAGGTTTATCACGTGGTTGGCAGTAGAGATAGTATGCAGGAAAAGCGGCACTGACAGATGTATATTACAGTAAGACACAGAGTAGCCATGAGGGGGGGAAACACGCCATGCTGCTTCACTCTACACTGATCACCAAACCCTCACCTGATCACCGGGCGGATCAACAGGTTGATTACCGGGGCTTCAGTTGATCTGTAAGCAATGAAATAATCACCGAGACAACATCCTATCATTAAGTCATCACCTGATCAGAGAGTCAGTAAATGTCAAGTGGTTAATCAATTGACTAACGAGCCGCAGCTGATTAGCAGTAAACAGTAAGGTGTACAAAAAATCTTGAGTGCAAAAAATAAGGGTAACTCGTACAAAAAGAACTCATTTGTCTCCCACGCGTCACTACTGGGAGAAACATCTCTTATTTTAGGTATTGCCGCAGCATACTCCCACTACAGAAGTATTAAGTAGTGTACCCCTTAAAAAGAACACCTTATGTACGTTTTCTCTGTCAAGAAACTCATCTGGTGGTGAAGTAGTGGGAGAAGGTAGTGGTAGAGGAGGAGGAATAACTGTAGTAAAGTAATGGTGGTAAGAGACGAACCTGTGCCATAGTGAAGAAACACGTGTGACGAAAAATAAGTGTTGTTAGGTTCGTTGCCCCCTACCGCAGACACGATGCAATAAGGTTAGCTTTATCACAGGAAACATTAAAGTTTAACCGTAAGTTTATATCGTAGTAGCATTCGTATTTATCATGTCATAGTATAATAACTAAGTCTAATAATAGCATTTCACAGGTGTCCACTCTTAAGTCAACAAATGACTTCCAGAGTTTTATGAAACATCTAATAGTATTATGTACAGACCTAACATCTGCCTATTGCCCTTATACACTGCGTTTAATGTAAAGTAAACTGCAAAAGAAACCATGAAACACACGAGCCCTTCCGCCTTGGTCCCACCCACCTTCACCACTGTTACCTAATAGCTTATGTATCAAATATTCTGATTAAAAAAAACACACCCTGATCTGTGAAGCTTCCTTAATTAGTTTATTAATCTCTTCGTGTATACTGCAGCTGCCAGTAGTGACAGACGGTGTTCTATAAAGTCGTAAGTTACCTTTATATTCCAAGGAAGCAGAGTCGAGATATTGGTAGACCCACAAACGTAAACTAGCTGAATCATCCAAGGAGAGAGTGATCCTCCCATTCTTCCTTTTGTTATGTCTTTTATCATCGTTCCTTCCCGTCTTTTCATTCTCCTCTAATTTTCCTTCCATAATTACCCTCGTAACCTTCCCTCTCATGCTTAATATTAATACATACAATTTATATCCTTTACAGAACATTATTTTCACGTTTTATTTCGTTAAGTAATGTGTAGGTAGAACGCTAGTGGTAGCCAGTGTGGTAGGGGCAGGCTGGAGCGGGCGAGACATAGGACCAAGCGCACATACATGGTTGAGAGGTCTCTGGCCTCACACACACACACCAGTGATTGAGTTCAACTGTTCAGGGGTAGTAGTAATGATCTCGGCCAAGGTCTTCAAAAATTCGCGCGTTAAATTCATCTTTTCCCTAATACCAGTAGATGTAAGGAGCGTTTAACTGGGTCCCTTAAAAGAGCGGAGCGAAGTTGACTGCCAAAAGGCCACCCAACTTGCGTGTTATTACTAAGAAGTGGAGAAATTTACGTATGAATCTTTAAGAACCTTGTCCCAGGGTCCAGCTCTTGGATATCTTTACCTCGTTATCGTACTTGTAGGTTTTGTTACTGATTGCTTATGTAAATACATGAAATAACTATCGTAATGCTCTCAATATTTTTTGCTCGGATAACTATCATTAATATATCTATCTATATAAAATCTATCATCATGAAACAAAATCAAGTCTGAAATTATATATTTTTTATAATATATATTAATTCGATGCCAATGCAATCAAATTTGATAACATAAACTTCCACAGAAGGTCAACAGAAGAAGGGTTATTTAATATTAGTTGAGGAAAATTATGTACGCTATGCCAGACACGACGCTGGAACCACAAGACGCTTGATACAAAGGCCATACTTTAAAAGTTCCCAGTGGTGTGTGCTCACGACACAACACGCTGAAATGCCTATAAGAACTACAGCAAAGTCTTGTGTTTCTACTAAGCTGTAGATGTGGTGCTGTGTGTATTAACTCACACCATCGTTTAATGTGAGAGCTGATAGTGATAATAAAGAGGGGGGGGGGGGCATTCATGCTATGCTGTGTCGTGACCCCAACCCACAAGTAGGATTTCAACCCAAGTCAATAGCGAGTGTTGCTACCAGCACGACTAACTCCTGTACAGGTAGTAGTAGTAGTAATAGTAGTATTAATAGTAAACAAACATACACAACGAGGCAGCTTGTAAAAAGTCTCTCTGACTAGGCGCAGTTAAAAGATTGAAAATGCAACTGTAAAACTTTCTTGTTTCTTGATATGTACAATAATAAAACTTTTATACAAACATACATACAGGTATAGTATTATATATATACAAATATGTGAAGCAGTAATGTATAAACGAAACACAAACCCACAAAAAAAACCTCTTAGCCACTGATACGAACCTTGGTTATTGTGTTGGTTTTATGTACAGAGAACCACTAAGTGTTCTCACGGAGGCTACTACCATGGAGTATAACACCATTGTAATGACACTTTTCATGTAACAGCTGTCCAATGTGTACACAACATTTCCGCTGTTTGAATATTTCACCATTAATAGCTTCGACTAGAATATGTAGATCACATTCACAATCTGGTGTGTATTTTGTGTATATATATATATATAAGTTTTCTATTACGCTTGTATAACGCTTATGCCACACAGACTCACCTGGATGTAAGTACACTGACAAGCAATGACGATTTGAGGTTAATACATATCTATATATATATTTCAAATACACAACATCTTATAGACAATAAAAAAGGTGCCTTGTCAGTCTTACCAATTATGAGCTAGTTGTCACTGTTACCAATGATGCAGGCAGTTTGTCACTTATTATAAATAGCTGCTTCCACTACCATTGTTCTTGCTTAACTTTCTATAACGAAAATTACACACAAAGAGTATAACTTCCATACTGACATACTGTACTGTAGCAAATTTTAAGAAATTACATTCGTCTTTTCTTTTTCAAAGTTGATGTCGATGTTGTCGGCCGTCATAAGAGCGAAAGAGAAGGCTGCGGCTGTAGCGTGACACGTCCCTGTCGAAGCTGGCATAGCCCCGACGTGTAGCCGTCGGGAGGAGATGCCCCCCTTCCAGCTGGTTCATGTCACCTTCGGAGAGGGCGTGTGGCGTCCCCTTTTGAGGCGGCTCTCGGCGACCTCTCCGGGAACTGAGGCACAAGTCCCACCCGAAGCTGGCTAAAGACCTCCGGGAGGAGGGCATACACCCACCTCGGAGGTTGTCTAGCAGGTCTCAGGTAACAGGGGAGTATCCCAGGTTCTTTCGCTGCAGGAACATGTGGATCTCCCTGAAAGTTGGGCGGTCAGCATCGGAGCGCTTCCAGCACTCCCGCATCAGGTCGTAGATTTCCTTGGGGCAGTTTGTTGGCTGAGGCAGCAGCACCTGGTATACGGGGAGACACGGGGTTAATGTGTGGTTGAGGTAAGAGTTCAGAATTTAGGTACAACTATTGTAAAAATGTGAAGAAAAAATGGAAGCATTTCGGTAAAAAGAAAAGGTTTGTGTTTGGCGTAAAGATCGTCAAAGTAGAAAAAAAACCGAACCCATTAACGTGTAATGGGTGAATTAAATTATTTCAGGAGTCATTAGTTAACAGGTTTTAGTAAAGAATAACAATTTTACACGTGGTTCTGCACACAATTAAAAAAAATGTATTATGTTTTGTTCAGACTGACACAGAGGCACAACATATTCTACGGCAGGTTTAGGGTTACTTCTGCCAAGGGGTCGTGAAGATCAGATGACAAGCGTTGAAATCGCCCGTGTATAGTGTTAACTTATCAGTGGGAGATGTTCAGGCTTCATGGTTTGTCCGTGACCGTAGACGTTGCAGAGATGAATGTGACTGCCGCCACGTTGAGTTGTAGGAGTTGACATTGGGTGACCTTTTCGCGTCTCGTTCTGACCAGTTTGTGCTGTAGGGACTGTTTGATGTAGATTATGGGGCCGTTTTGAATGGGTGAGGCATACATGACATATCCAGGAAGAAGCTTAGGGTGTGAATCTGGGCGCCTCTCACAAGCGGTTCTTGTAGAAGAACGACGTCCATGTTATGAGTGTGGACGTAACAGTATAGGCCGATGAGGCCGTGTATATTCCAGGAGAGAAACGTGAGCTGCTCTAGAGTAAGAGGAGTCAGTAGCAGTAGCGGCAAAGTGATGGCAAAGGAATTCGTGTTGGCGAGTGATCATGTCGTATGAGTGTCCTGGCTCATGTCGTATGAGTGTCCTGGCTCATGTCGTATGAGTGTCCTGGCTCATGTCGTATGAGTGTCCTGGCTCATGTTTCTGCTCACCATGGTCATAACTTACTGCCTCAGCTCGTGCTCGTGGGAATTGTTTGTTTCCATTTCTCCATCTTCATCAGTCGTCCTCAATCATGTCCGTCCTTCTTGAGATACTCTTCTGCTTCCATTTTCTGACGAATGGCGGATTCAGCCAGTTTCCGGAGTTTGCCATTTTTTATTTGTTGTTTTAAGTCTTTCCTGTTGTATTTCCAAATGTTCCTGCATTGCCTTAGGGTCCGTCAGCTGGGTGTTTAATGAGGTGATTTCATCTTCAAGAAGTTGTAGATGGATCTTGTCAGTGGTGAGTGAGGTTGGTGGTGGAGGTGTATACGGAGGGTCCGGGGGCTTAGTTGGAGCTGCAAGACGACGTGTGGCACAGCCAGGCCAGACATTTACCCCCACCTTACCACAGCGGAACACTATCATTTCGTCGTATCAGGTGACTCGCCGTTGTCGGGGATGCTTGAGGCCAAGTATTCACCGGTGACAACTGCGTCGATGATTATCCTTCTGGTTCCTAGCTGTGTACAGTATAGAGTGAAGTTCATTATGTTAACAGATCCCTCATCAGTGAGGCTGGTGTGCTAAAATTGTTTTTATGATTAATTTGTATGATTTACGGTGATAACAATTACAGCACACCAGCCTCACGGAATTATACAGTAAAACCTCATTAAGATAGCCTGAGAATGAGGTGATGAGACCTCGACTTCTCCCAGTGTCAGGTCCAGCATACAGGTGCGACGAGTTTCAGTGAGGTTGGTGTTCATTGAGAGGCTCGCTGGGTAAACAAGCTTGACGTATTTGCTGTTACGTCATGAGGTGGTCTTGAGCCGCCAGGTGGACTTGATAACTTACGTGGTGGACACAAGGTTGGCCAGTCTTCAGGGGCTTCACAGCTTGTTGCTCCTCTAGACAGGGGTTTAAGGGTAATTTCTCTCCTCGCTTTCTCAATTGACGAATTATCTTTGATTTTAATGACATTTGCTTGTTGGTGATGTGTGTCTTGAGTCGGAATCACTGCCAGATATGTGGTAGTTGGCGCGCTGACCGGTACCTTGTTTCTCCGTGTTAACTTCATTCTCATCCAACAGATCGAGTCTCTCTTGGTGTAGCCTTATACCTCTACCTAAGCCACTGACTCCCTTTGTACACCAATACTCTCAAAATAACGCTGAGAACCACAAATTAACTCACCGCAGTGTTGTTGTCTTGATTACTGTATATAGTGACTTAACTCTTTAACTTCAACAAGCCATATTCTCTCTCTTTCCTTGGTCTTACGTCTCACCTGTAGTCCTCTCTCACCTGTAGTCCTCTCTCACCTGTAGTCCTCTCTCACCTGTAGTCCTCTCTCACCTGTAGTCCTCTCTCACCTGTAGTCCTCTCTCACCTGTAGTCCTCTCTCACCTGTAGTCTCCCCATCCTAATATTTTAAACACTCTGTACATAGTTCTCTACTTCTATCTTATCTCCCACAGGCACTCTTATCTTTATCTCTCACACACACCACTCTATTATCTCTCCTATTCTCCCCTCTCCTTTGTTTCCTCGCCATCAACAATTTCTTCTCTCTCCCCCTCTCCTGCTCAACCTCCTTCATCTCCTTCTCACACCTCTCTACCCTCCCCGCCTCTCCTCTCTACCTCTCTCCTCTCTACCCTCCCGCCTCTCCTCTCTACCCTCCCCACGCCTCTCCTCTCTACCCTCCCACCCAACGCCTCTCTCTCTACTCTCCCCAAGCCTCTCCTCTCTACCCTCCCCACGCCTCTCTTCTCTCTCCCCACGCCTCTCCTCTCTACCCTCTCCTCGCCTCTCCTCTACGCCTACCCACCTCCCCTCTCTCTCTTCTCTCCCCGCCTCTCCTCTCTACCCTCTCCTCGCCTCTCCTCTCTACTCTCCCCACGCCTCTCCTCTCTACCCTCCCCACGCCTCTCTTCTCTTCTCTCCCCCCCTCCTCTCTACCCTCTCCTCGCCTCTCTTCTCTTCTCTCCCCACGCCTCTCCTCCTACCCTCCCCTCTCACCTCCCTGGCCCCTCTCTCCACCTCCCCTACATCTCACCTCCCTGGCCCCATCTCTCGCCTCCCCTGGCCCCTCTCTCTCTGGCCTCTCTCCCTGGCCTCTCTCTCACCTCCTGGCCCCCGTCTCTCGCCTCCTGGTCCCCCGTCTCTCGCCTCCCTGGCCACCCTCTCGCCTCTCTCACCTCCTGGCCCCCTCTCTCTCACCTCCCTGGCCCCTCTCTCCTCCTCCCCTCTCTCTCTCACCTCCTCCTGGCCTCTCTCTCACTCCTGGCCCCTCTCTCACCTTGCCTCTCCCTCCTCCCCGTCTCTCGCCTCCTCTAGCCCCTCTCTCTCCCACTCTCTCCTGGCCCCTCTCCTCCCTGGCTCCTCTCTCCCCCTCCCTGCCCTCTCTCTCGCCTCCTGGCCCCGTCTCTCGCCCTCCTGGCCCCTCTCTCTCACCTCCCTGGCCCCTCTCTCCCCCCTCCCTGGCCTCTCTCTCACCTCCCTGGCCCCCTGTCTCTCCCTCTCTCTCTCTCCAACCTGGCATCTCTCACCTCCTGGCCCCCATCTCTCACCTCCCCTAGCCCCCTCCTCTCTCGCCTCTCCCTCTCTCCTCCCCCCCTCTCTCACCTCCCTGACCCTCTCTCCCTCCCTCTCTCTCCGCCTCTCTCTCCTCCCTGCCCCTCTCTCTCACCTCCTAGGCCCCCTCTCTGCCTCCAGCCCCCGTCCTCGCCTCCCTGCCCCTCTCTCTCACCTCCCTGCCCCCTCTCTCTCCTCCCCTCACCTCCCCCCCTCCTCCCCCCTGGCTCTCTCACCTCCCTAGCCCCCCGTCTCTCACCTCCCCTGGCCCCGTCTCTCACCTCCCTGGCCCCTCTCTCTCTCTCCTCCCCCTGGCCCCTCTCTCTCACCTCTCTTGCCCCTCTGTCTCACCTCCCCTGGCCCCCCTCTCCCTCTGGCCTCTCCTCTCACCTGGCCCCTCTCTCTCACCTCCCTGGCCCCTCTCTCTCCCACCTCCTGGCCCCTCTCTCTCCCTCCTGGCCCCCGTCTCTCACCTCCCTGGCCCCTCTCTCTCACCTCCCTGGACCCGTCCTCTCCCTCCCTGGGCTCTCACCTCTGCCCCGGCCTGTCTCTCACCTCCCTGGCTCTCTCACCTCCCTGGCCCCTCTCTCACCTCCCCTGGCCCCTCTCTCACCTCCCTGGCCCCCGACTCTCACCTCCCTGGCCCCTCTCTCTCACCTCCCCTGGACCCGTCTCTCTCACCTCCCTGGCCCCCGTCTCTCACCTCCCTGGCCCCTCTCTCTCACCTCCTGGCCTGGCCCCTCTCTCCCCTCTCCCCTCTCTCTCTCCCCCTCCACCTCTCTCTCACCTCCTGGCCCCTCTCTCTCACCTCCCTGGCCCCCTGTCTCTCACCTCCCCTGGCCCCTGTCTCACCTCCCTGGCCCCTCTCTCTCACCTCCCTGGCCCCGTCCCCTGGCTCTCTCACCTCCCTGGCCCCGTCTCTCCCTCCTGGCCCCTCTCTCTCCTTCCTCTCTCTCACCTCCTGGCCCCTCTCTCTCTCTCTCACCTCCCTGGCCCCTCTCCCTCCCTCCCTGGCATCTCTCACCTCCTGGCCCCTCTCTCTCCCTCCCTCACCTCCCCTGGCCCCTCTCCTCACCTCCTGGCCCCGTCTCTCACCTCCCTGGCCCCCCGTCTCACCTCCCTGGCCCCATCTCTCACCTCCCCTGGACCCCATCTCTCACCTCCCTGGACCCCCATCTCTCACCTCCCTGGGCCCCCATCTCTCACCTCCCTGGCCCCCATCTCTCACCTTCCTGGCCTCGTTGTGATAGATGTAGGAGACGTTCTCGATGACGAGGTCGTCGGTGAGGTCCTCGTAGGGTTGTTCTCGCGCCATGGTCAGGATCTCCCACAGCGTCACCGCGAACGACCACACGTCACTCTTCGTCGTGAACTTCCCCTGAAACACGACCATGACTGCCGTTAGGTTAGGGTAGGTTAGGGTAGGTTATGGTAGGTTAGGGTAGGTTATGGTAGGGTATGTTAGGGTAGGGTAGGTTAGGTTAGGTTAGTGTCGTCTTTAACGTGATCACTACCTGTCTGTCACAACCACCTCACCTGTCATTAATGTTGAACCGAAACTGTCACAGTATGAAGGAAGGAGGAAGGAGGGGAAGGAAGGAGGAAGGAAGAAAGGAGAAGGGAGGGTGGAAGAGGCCCAGGACACGATAATAAATGAGGTTTTGCTTAACCCGGAGATGGCGTGCTGGACCAGGCTGTGAGAGGGGGAGAGATAAGAGAAAATGAGGGAGAGAGGGATGGGGGGGGGGGGCAGTGGGAGGTTAAGAGGGGGAGGGTAGAGAGGGAGTGAGAGGGGCGAGCAGAGATGGGTAGGAAGGCACGTTAACAGAAATCCTTCACTCCTCCAACTGGGTTTAGTTAGCCAAGTACTGCTGGGTGAACGAGGAGGGTGGCCCCGAGAACGAACCAGCCAAGCTTTGGACAAGAGACATCACCACCACTACCATCACCACGACCATCATCACCACCAACATTAACATCGCCACCACTATCAATACCACCTTCACCATCAGTACCAACGCCACCACCACCACCACCACCACCACCACCAACACTATTATCACCACTACTACACACAGCTCCCAGTAGTGTCACACCTCTACCTCTTTTGACATATTAGTGAGGGGTAACTATAGCGGGCGGACGGCGGAGACTCTACCGCCAAAATTGCCGCCGAGGGAGTTGTGTAGAGGCGACTTGGAGGTCCTTACACGTCACATACACAACCTGCTCCCTAGAAATGTTCACGACTATTTCACAAGACTGTCACCTGAAGGGGACGCGTGGTGTATGTCTCCCGTATACGCTGCCTACCTCACGTCTCTTATTATTTTTATATCCATCCATTCACCTGTGTTCCTGATTTATAATTACGAAGCTGGAGGAGCTAATACGATGACAAAAACATACTTTATTCTTTGCCCAGCGACAAACAGTAATAATGTCTGCACAGTCTTCACCGAAAACAACTTTTATTTACCAGTGAGTGAATGCTCATAGTTGGAATGTTTTCTCACGCCAGAAACTATACAGTAAATGCAAGTTACTTTATTCTCACTGGCATTGTGTTTTCGCCGTCCGCAATTTTAGCTGATAGGTGGTGGTGTCAGGGAGGTGCAGACTGGCCACAACCTGAGTGTCTCCCCAACCAAAGCAGAAAACAAATTTGTAAACAGTAAATACCACATTACATTTTCAGGTAATTATTCAAAAGTTGTATCGCAGGCAAATTGTTTATACCCACAAACTTTGGCCTGTAACAAAACTGATGCAAAATGATACTACTTGAGTGTGTTGAGTGTGTGGCACTGGGATTATTGTCTCTCGGGCTGTAAAGGTGTCTTGTTCTCCATCAGTACCTCACTTCGGTCCCCACACACACACACACACACACACACACACACACACACACACACACACACACACACACACACACACACACACACACACACACACACACACACTGTACGAAATGTTTTCATGTTTTTTATTCCGGACATCAAACATCTTTACTCTCGCTGTCTCTCAGATTGTACTTCATGCTGTGTAAATATTAAGTCAAGGTGTGAGGGACGGTGACAAGAGAGCTTCAACACTCAAAAGGTTCAGGCTTGTTCATATTACCACTACTGGATTGTACAAGTTATATATGTAACCTTCTGCCTTAATTAACTGTTTCAATTTCAATTTTCTACGACGACACAGGTAGTGATGAGTTGTGAGAGGTCTTTATGAGCAACACACTCACAAAATACAACACAGTTAATGAACAGATATCAGGAGCCTTTTAAAATATCATATGCTGAAGTGTCGACTGAATTTCAAAGTATTTGTTTGACGTTTTCGGTCTGATAAATTCCTTGTTTTGTGAATTTTTAATGGTCTTGAAAATATAACTAAATAATAAAATGGTATTCGTTGTCTTCGGGCTAGTGTTGTAATTCTCTGCACACTATTTAGTTGCTACGAGTTAAAGATCATTATCACACACCTGTAGACGTTTCACCACAACTGTACCTGACGTAGATAGACTTCACCTCCTTCATCTGGTCGTAGATAGTGTCAAGATCTAGTTGTTGTTAAATACTTTTTTATATCGCTTAACTAAGAACCTGTCAGTGGCTGCATTCACTCACTTGAATCAGTCATCGAAAAATCACAGGTGCTGAGTAATTAGCGTTGCAAAACTAATTACAATTTTCCTCAAGTAATTATGAAAGGTAATGCCAATGCCAACATTTCAACTCTTTGGATACAGATCCTCAGGAAGAAACATCCCTCAGGCGCGATATATTGTCATCAGTCAGGTGAGGAAGGGAGACACTGAACACCAAGAAGACTCGAGCGGCCTTCATCACGGACTCGTCAGACTGTACCGAAACTTGAGGCATAAGACGTCACCCAGACCCACAGACTGACAGCCTCCTCAGGTAAAGGACTCGCCAGAAACCTCCTTAGAATGATGGACTCAACTATCAAGATGAACATCCTAGAATGGTGGACTCTTAACAACATCCACGGACTCTACGAAATGATGAAGTATCAGCGATATGGACTCGGAATAAAAATGGACTCTCAAAACATTGGATTACCAGACCCACCCCTCTTAGTCCTCAGAAAATGTATTGAAATCACAACAGAGGACTCTCACTCACTCACCAACAGTATGGACTCCCAGGCCATCCAGCGGATAGGAAGCAGCGCCTTGCCCTCAATCCTGTAGTAGTCGCCGGAGTAGAGGTTACGACTCATGCCGAAGTCTGAGATCTTTATGATGTGGCCCGCCCCCACCAGGCAGTTCCTGTGAGACGGAGACAGGGAGCACGTGTGGGTGAGATAAGTGACACAAGTGGATGAATAACACTGCTGGATGATCAGGTAACACCAAGTGGATGAATAACACTGCTGGATGTTCCACCTCCGGGCAGATCCTGATAGAAGAAGTAAATACAATGACATCAAGTGAGTCAAGTTAGGCAGAGTTTGACACACACACACACCTCACACACACACACACCTCACACACACACACACCTCACACACACACACACCTCACACACACACACACACACACCTCACACACACACACCTCACACACACACACCTCACACACCTCACACACACACACACACCTCACACACCCACACACACACACACACACACACACACACACACACACACACACACACAAACACCACACACAAACACCACACACACAACATCACACACACAAACACCACACACACACACACAAACACCACACACACACACACACACACACACACACACACAAACACCACACACACACACACACACACACACCACACACACACACACACACACACACACACACACACACACAAACACACACACACACACACCACACACACACACACACACACACACACACCACACACACACACACACACACACACACATACACACACACACAAACACCACACACACAAACACCACACACACACAAACCACACACACACACACACAAACACCACACACACACAAACCACACACACACACACACACACCACACACACACACCACACACACACACACACACACACAAACACCACACACACACACACACACACACACACACACACACACACACACACACACACACACACACACACACACACACACACACACACCAAGACACAGACTGGCCGGCCAGCTTAAAAACCTCCTCCCGTTTTATGCAAATGTCAGCTGGGGAGAATTTATAACTCTGAAGGCTGTTAAAAAGTTTTTCTACCAGGCATATTAAAGGAGGTCACACGTGAACACCCTGGTGGATCACACGACGACACGACGACTTAATCCACTCAGCAGATAATTCTTTTATTCAACGGACCTCTGGAGTCACGAGTTGGTAACAAATAAGACAAACTTTTTAATAGATAGAAACGTGTAAAAGGAATTGTGTCTAACCAGAAACTTTTAGAAAATTAAACACATGGATAGAAAAAAAAGTATTTGATGTCACTATTATTTTATTCAATGGACATGTGAAGAAATTTTACAGACCGAGAAACATAGAAACTTTCAAAACCTTTTTATTATTGGGTATTAAATAATTAAACTTTTCTTACAGTAGCAACTAGAAGCTCTCGTGATTAAAACTTGCTTCACTACTACTACTGTCTTTATCATCCAATTTTTATGACCGTTGTTGTTATTTCTAAACTAAACTTCTGTTAACTGTTACTTTAAATATTGGACGAAATAATATTATCAATACTGTAGGTCAATAACAACAACGTGTTGATGTCAAAATGAAATACGATTTGTGTCTACTGGTATTGGTGCCTTGTTCTCGCCTGGTAGTAGTGCCATGGTATTGACTCGGTATTCACCCGGTAGTGGCCCCCCTGGCACTCACCTGTTAGTCCCTGGTATTCATCCGGTAGCCCCCTGGTACTCACCTGGTAGCAAGGTCCCGGTGAACAAAATTGAGCGACTCCAGGTACTTCATACCAGATGCGATCTGTGTGGCCATGTATATGAGGCATCCATAGCTGTGAGGGAGACCAAATGGTGTTAGTAGACTGTGATGGCCTTAACTTAGTGTTAGGTGCGGTGCCTAAACCTTTAGTGTAATGGTCGTAAAGTAGGGAGAGAGTTATCGTGGGTCAAATGTTTAGGTTTGTAGAAGGTAATACTGTACTGTACAGTTTGAAGCAGTAATTACTACGCCCCCCCTCAGTGAAGGCCAATATTGACACAACACCGCGCAGCCCATACGTGGTTAAAACGTCAACGCGTTTGGGCTGGGGAGGGAGGGGAATTGTCGATCGCCAGGCCACCACTGGCTTGGCTCCGACTACTGTGGGGGAGCAATTACTGTGTCTGACAACCTATAATATTAACTTTAATGGTGTTAGAAATAATGCAATATTAACCGGTAATATGTTTAGCGTTGTGTCATTCAATACTACTGTACCTAAGCGTTTCAGAACAGTTACCTGAGCGTTTTAGCGTGTGTGTTCCTGGGGGAAGCAGTCTCGGCGATGTGAGCCTGAAGGTACTGGTTGAGGTCGCCGTGTTCCATGTACTCCACCAACATACAGAGTGGCTCCTCCCTCGAGCACACCCCCACCACCTGCACGATGTTGGGGTCCCTCAGCCTCGCCAAGATCTCCACCTCGCGCTCGAAGTCACACCTGTAGGGAGGAGACAAAGGTATGTTGGGGACCTGTAGTACTGTACACACCTGCCTGATGTTTAGGTCTCCCAAGTAACCTGTAGATGGGGTGAAGCAGGCGTGCGTGGGCCTTAGTGCACCACCTGCAGCGTTTTCATTCCCCTAACTCATCCTTATTCACTTCTTTAAATGGATAACTAGCCGAGTCAACACCTTCCACCCGACATAGCAGGGTGGTGAGGTGGTCGTGTGGGGAGAGGAGGAACACTACCACCTCCAGGTCCTCGTCGGGAAGTGACTATAATTGCTTTATATCGTCCTTAAGACCTCCTACCCTTACCTGACGGCGTGAGATGCCTCCAGCCTCAGTGTCTTCACCGCCACCATCTGCTTCTCTCCCTCTTCGTCCTCCACCTCGCCCAGATGAACCTGTGGAGGCAGTGACATCTTAATTATGCACCTGATGAAGACGTGACCTGACCTGACCTGTGACCTGACCTTATTACGAATCATCTGGATAATGAACTAAATTAGAGCAGTGATATTTCAGTGACGGACCCAACCTTCTTAGGGTGGCTAATTAGGGTAGTGTAGATAATTAAGGCAGACGACTTTATTTTGAGTAATTAGCACAATGTCATCTTGTTTAAGGCAGTAACATCCCACGGTTAAGACTCTAATCAGAACCACCACCAGAGGACATTTTATAGACAGGTTAGGTTAGTCTAGATATATTAGGACTGAGGACCACACTGGGTTAGTACTGACTCCTGCAGGACTCACCTCACCAAACTGTCCCTCGCCGATTTGCTGCAGGAGTGTGATGGCCAGCCGGGGGATTCCCCTCGCCTTCACCTCCTCCAGGGGAGCCCCACCTCCTCCTCCCCCCTGTTTACTTCCCACACTGCTGCCGTTGCTCCCCTGCTGGTGGTGAGGGAGAAGATGTTGTAGTTCAATGATGACGGGTTATGGGGAGCATATGGGATTATGGGGAGGATTGGGGAAGATAGTGGGTGGTTAAGGGAAGGATGGGGATGACGGTAGGGATTGATTGAGGGAGGATGGTGGGTGGTTAAGGGAAGGATGGGGATGACGGTAGGGATCTGAGGGTTAAGGGGGATTGAGGGAGGATGGTGGGTGTTAAGGGAAGGATGGGGATGACGGTAGGGATCTGAGGGGTTAAGGGGGGGGATTGAGGGAGGATGGTGGGAAGATTGAGGGGAGTTGAAGGGTTATGGCGATGCAGATTGGGGTGAATGGTGGGAGATAAGGAAAGTGAAGGATTCAGGGGTGAGAATAAAGGAGACAAGGGGAGGGGAGAGGAAGATGAAAGTAGGAGAAGACGATCAAAAGATGTCAGGTGGAGAGTGAGATAGAATGAAGTGATGAACAAATGTATGAAGAAAAATGAAAGAAAATTAAGAAAAATGATAATTAAAACAAAACAGACAAGTAGGAATAATAACAATAATAATAATAATAATAATAATAATAATAATAATAATAATAATAATAATAATAATAATAATAATAATAATAATTTTTTTTTTTAATAATAATAATAATAATAATAATAATAATAATAATAATAATAATAATAATAAAAATAATAATAATAATAATAATAATAATAATAAAAATAATAATAATAATAATAATAATAATAATAATAATACACACAATAATAATAATAATAATAATAAAAATAATAATACACAAAAATAATAATAATAATAAAAATAATAATAATAATAAAAATAATAATAATAATAAAATAATAATAATAATAATAATAATAATAATAAATAAGGAGAAGAGAGGAGAGAGAGAGAGAGAGAGAGAGAGAGAGAGAGAGAGAGAGAGAGAGTTACCAGATGTGGCTGACAAATAATTACAAAGACGATGAATAGCGGGGAAAACTAAAAGAATTCTGATAAATCTTGAGAAGGGAGGAAACACTAATAATAACGACGTGGAGAAATTTGATAAAAGTAGGAATATGTAACAAGGGTTATGAAGATTAACTGGTTCAAACTCATTATCTTTCCTTTCACCTCTCCTTATTCCTCTTCTTAGTACATTCCTCTCCTCTCTCTCTCTCTCTCCTCTCTCTCTCTCTCTCTCTCTCTCCCCTCTCCTTCCTGTTACTTCCCTATCTTCTTTTCAATTTCTTCTTCCTAAGCATCCTCTCTCTCTCTCTCTCTCTCTCTCTCTCTCTTCCTACCATTTACTCCATTCTCTCTCCTCTTCAATATCCTCTCTCCCCTCTATTCCCATCCCATCACTCTCCCTCACCCTTTTTCCTTCCTACTCCCCATTTCACTCTCAATACGACTTTCCTCCACCTCTCTAAATGTTAAAGGTTCGTCCGTCTGTCTGTCTGTCTCTCAATACTCCCATACAACATACACTGTAAAGGCGAGTGAGTGCGTGAGTGCGTTTGATATAGCACCCAATAACCCTCCTCCTCCCCTCCCCTCCCTCCCTCCTTTCGTTACTTAAGCTATTTATCAACACCACCTTTCCCTTGACAGCCCCTTCTTCCTTCTAAATCCCCTCACCCTGTCTCCCTCCCTCACCCCTCCCCCTCACCCCCCGTTCTCTTCTTCCTCCCTCCTTACCTTACCTAACCTAACCTATCAGTTAATTTTACTCACCGCGACAATCTCTGTGGCTGCGTAGAAGCTCTCCTGGGGCTGTTGTGAGGTGGGCGGGATGGGCGTGGGCGTTGGCTTGCCTAAGAAGGTGTTAAGGGTGTGCATGGGCGGCTTAGTGTGCGGGAGGGGTGGTGGATAGACGCCCGTAGCACCGTCAGCACCCAGGTGTGGGATGGCGTACTCGGTCGACGGACACTCTGTCAGAAAAACACGAATGGCCAGGGGTTAGCATTCATAAAGTCCCTCTAACACACTGTACGGATAAATGGTAGAAATAATCTGTAAATGTAAATACAGACAAATTTAACGAGGTTTTAGCATAATAACAGCATATATTAACCCAAGTAACAATACAGATAATATTTCTTAATGCACTGTGTTCAGTTTCCAGGGTGAGGGAGATCGCGTGTGTGGTGGTGATGCCGCCTCGACACCAGCAGCCTCCACTACCTCCAGGTTTCTTCTCCAGTTTACTCTCGTTATGGTTTGGTTAAGGTGGACGTAGTGTAGTAATGGGTGTTTTAGATGTTATGTTGTAGTAATGAATAAATTTAAGGCAAACTATTTTCAGCGTTGAAATTTGCCTGTTCCACACACACACACCATCCACACCTTCCACACCATCCACACCTGCACCACCACACTTCCCCACTACGTCCTTTAAGAGCGTATCATCATCAGTAATCACACACGTCCACCAATAATTAAAACTGAGGATTACACCTGTTCAATATATCAACTCACCTGACACTCACGTCTTCGAGTTCGTAATTTGTTAGATAATTATTTTACACATAATTTACTCATCGTCTGGGGGATTAACACGCTAGATTATATAACGGAGTTGATTATTTAATGAACTAGATTGACGACCTTTGGATTACAATTATAATACACAAATTACATTACATGTTACTGATATTAATATAGTAAAATATTGAATACGGGAGTGTATTGGTAGTATGAAAGTTGGTGTATTTAATTTATTATTATTATTATTATTATTATTATTATTATTATTTTTTTTTTATCTGTCTAATTTCTCATTTATTATTTCTATTTTCTTCTTTATTCTTCAGTTAATGCCAAAAGTATTTCACTCCAGCTATTATCATTTCGTCTCTTCTTGGTTAGTCGCTGTTTCTTCCCTCATTCATTCACTGTTTGTTCTCTTGTTTTGTATTCACCGTCATTCTTGTTGCTTCCTCTACCCCATCTCATCAAGTTTGCCTGCTCCCCATTCTCTTCGTTAGTGCATTTTTGCTGTTATTCTTTGACACTAATTCTCCCATTTTCTTTCTTCTTCCCGTTTATTTGTGTTTTTAATACTTTACTCCTTTATTAATTTTCTAATGTCTTTTCTATTTATCATTTTTTGTTGTGTTTCACCTCATTCGTACATTCAGTCTCTCTCCTCCTACTTCCATCGCCACTTATTTTTTCTCTCTTGTTCCTTCTTCGTCTCCCTCTCATCTTCTTTCGTTAATTGCTGTTCTTTTTATCACTCATTCATTTAATCAATTTATCCCTACCCCCACCCTCTCTCTCTCTCTCTCTCTCTTCTCCATTCTCGTTATTTTTTGCCTTCCCTCGTTTACTCATCTCCCCTTATTACCATACTTTCTCCTTCCCCCTGTTATTGTGGTCCATGTTATTATTCTTTCTTCGTTTATCCGTCCACCTCCTTTCTTGGTTATCGAGTGTCATTATTATCGGTGTTTCTCTCTTTCTCTCTCTCTGTTCTTCCCCTTGTTATTGCAATTATCGATATTATTCTTCGTCTGCTTTTCTATCTGTCTCATCCATTCATTTTCTTTATTTTTATACATTTTTCTTTTCCTTTCTTCCATATTTTCTTTATCTCACCTCTCTCTTCTCTCTCTCTCTCTCTCTCTCTCTCTCTCTCTCATTACTAAACCTTGCCTTATCATTATTCCTGACAGTGGTGGCGGGTTACCTCTTAGTGCACTTGACTTATGTGTTATCCTCGGCAAGGTGAAGTGAGGGGAAGGGAGAGGTGAAGTGAGGGAAGGAGAGGTGAGGTGAGGAGGACAGGTGAGATGAGGGGAAAGTGAGAGGTTAAGTGAGGTACGGTAAAATGAAGGTGGAATACTGCGGGAGGTGGACGAAGAGACGATGATGACGACGATGATGGAGATAACGAAGGCGGTGAATAAGGGGAAGGATATAAGTTAATTACGAAAAATTGCTAAGACGATGAAGAGGGTGGTAACGGGGAGTGAAGAGGAGAAACAGGAAATAATTGGTTAATAAGCGGGAATTGTAAGGGGAGAGGAGGATGTAGGGAAGGAGGAAGGGGGGGGGAGAGAGGAAAAGGGGAGGATACGAGAAGAGAGAAGAGGAGGAGGAGGGAGGGAAGAAGGGGTAACAAGAGGACGGGGGGGAGGAGGGAGGAAACAAGAAGAGGAGGAGAAGAGGAGAGAGAGAGAAGAAGAAACGAGGGAAGAGAAAGAGAAGGAGAAGAATAAGAAGAGAGAATAATGCCACAAACTGATGACCCACCAAATAAATAAATAATAAAAATAATCCCACGAATCGTTTGTTTACATTAAGAAGTAAACACAGACAAAGGGGGGTTGCCACACACCACTTGTTAACAGAACCAAATGTAAACTCGTCAAAAGTAACGCGGGAACCACTCTACTATCTGCCCCCTGAGACACACACACACACACACACACACACACACACACACACACACACACACACACACACACACACACACACACGCAAACCCCAACACAAACTTCTCAATAACAACCCGGAGACACGAATGACGTAACACGGAACTAAAAATAAAGAACAAATTAAACTAAAAAAATATATATTCCAGGTTTTATAGAAGGGGAAAAAATCTAATAAAAACAGTGGGATTTTTTTTTTCTGGGAGGAAAAAGTTGTACGGGAAGCTAAAACGAATTAAGTGAGAAGACGACTCGTGTTGACATTTCTTATGCCTTGCTAAGGTGGAATTTACATATGAATACATCCAGGCTGCCTTAGAAGGGCGAGAACTTACCCCTCCTCCCTCCCCACCACCACTACCCTACACTGTAACTTGGAGATCTACACCCCTCTCCCTCCCCCCACCACCACTACCCTACACTTAACTTGGATCTACACCCCCTCCCTCCCCCCACCACCACTACCTCACACTGTAACTTGGAGATCTACACCCCTCCCTCCCCCACCACCACTACCCTACACTGTACACCCTCCCTCCTCCCCCCACCACCACCACCCCACACTGTAACTTGGGAGATCTACACCCTCCCTCCCTCCCACCACCACCACCTGCACTGTACGAACTACACCCCCTCCCTCCCCCACCACCACTACCCCTACACTGTAACTTGGAGATCTACACCCCTGTCCCTCCCCACCACCACTACCCTACACTGTAACTTGGAGATCTACACCCCTCCCTCCCCCACCACCACCACCCCACACTGTAACCTGGAGATCTACACCCTCCCTCCCCCCACACCCCTCCCCCCCCACCACCACTACCCCACACCCTCCCTCCCCACCACCACACCCCACACTGTAACTTGGAGATCTACACCTCCTCCCCCCACCACCACTATCCTACACTGTAACTTGAGATCTACACCCTCCCCCTCCTCCCTCCCCACCACCACTACTCTACACTATAACTTGAGATCTACACCCCATACTCTCACCACCACTACCCTACACTGTAACTTGAGATCTACATCCCATACCCCCCCCTGGTGTACATTGTATACATAAATGTACATATGGTCACACACACACACACACACACACACACACACACACACACACACACACTACCAAGCCGTCATTATCAACACACATTTCACACAACCATCTTGAGTGTCGTGAGTTACCATTTTCAGTGTCGTGAGTTACCACCTTGAGTGTCGTGAGTCACCACCTTGAGTGTCGTGAGTTACCACCTTGAGTGTCGTGAGTTACCATCCCGAATCTGAACGTGTCCGTGATTTCACCTAAACTATCAATCACACCAATAAAAAAAAATCTACCTTATCAATCACATCTTCAAAAACAATCACCATTAACCATCTGACAACTTTCGTGGTTTCAACAGCAATATCGATCACACCTTCAGTCACCATTAACAGCCCCCCAAAAAACCTCCAAATATTTTTCGAGACAATTCCATAGATGAGATTGTCGTAATAATTTTAGACGCGAGTTTTTCCACGAGTCTGAAGGAGGAGGAGGATGACTGGTACACTGTTCTCCGTCAGGTAGGTCCTGTTTTGTATTCCGTGAGAGGAGAATCTGGCCAGATTCTCAACAACAAATGCCTCTCCAAGTTGTGTTGTGTCGCGGTGATACAAACCTGAGCACGCCAGATGGCTAAAGTTCCCAGCTGGCGGGTCCTTGTGGTGCTGCCTGCTACTCCCCGCTGACTAAATCTGATGCTACATGCAGAAGGCTCTCTCTCACAATGGCTGTGTTGGGGGTGGGTGGGTGAGTGGTTCTACGTTCACCAACTCACTCTCGCCATCACAAGGTTTCGTGTTTAAACTAAGGAAAGAGATTCACGTTTCAGGGGTTCAAAGATTTCGTGGTTCAAGTTTCATCGTCAGATCTTCTTCCCTCACAGGTTTAATGTTGAGGTTTAAAGGTCACAAGGCTTAGTGTTTCATTGAAGGCAGTTTTAGGTTCAAACTAGACATGACTTCTTATTTCAAGGTCACGGACGTTCAGGTCTAAAGGTCAAAAGTTTGAAGTGTCTGTGTTGTAAGTTTAACCCCTTAGGTAAGACGGTGTCGTGTTTAAGGTAAGAAGGGGTCGTGTTTAAGGTAAGAAGGGGTCGTGTTTATGGTAAGAAGGGGTCGTGTTTAAGGTAAGAGGGGTCGTGTTTAAGGTAAGAAGGGGTCGTGTTTATGGTAAGAAGGGGTCGTGTTTAAGGTAAGAAGGGTCGTGTTTAAGGATGTGTGTGAGTAAGAAGGGTCGTGTTTAAGGTAAGAGGGTCGTGTTTAAGGTAAGAAGGGTCGTGTTTAAGGTAAGAGGGGGTCGTTTAAGGTAAGAAGGGTCGTTTATGGTAAGAAGAGGTCGTGTTTAAGGTAAGAAGGGTCGTGTTTAAGTAAGAAGGGGTCGTGTTTAAGGTAAGAAGGGTCGTGGTTGGTAAGAGGGGGTCCGTGTTTAAGGTAAGAAGGGGTCGTGTTTAGGTGAAGAAGGGTCGTGTTTAAGGTAAGAAGGGGCGTGTTTAAGGTAAGAGGGGTCGTTTAAGGTAAGAGGGGTCGTGTTTAAGGTAAGAAGGGGTCGTGTTTAAGGTAAGAAGGGTCGTGTTTAAGGTAAGAAGGGGTCGTGTTTAAGGCAAGAGTCACTGTATCAACCAACCAGTCAACCAAGAGAGGGCGGTGATGGTAGGGAGGGTTAAGGTGGACTAGCCCCCACCCCCCAAGCCCTACCATTATTGCGGCTGTGATGAATCTTAATTCCGTGTCGTGTTAAAGCCTCCGTCACTCTCTCTCTCTGTTATTCATATTCATTAACATCATCATCATTAACTGCAGTACCTTGCCACAATACCCTGTACGCCATTGTCACACACACACACACACACACACACACACACACACACACACACACACACACACACACACACTATAAATGTAAGTTTGCAGCTTCACTCATTTGCATTTCGCTTTAGTCACGTGTCAAAGAATAAGTAAACTTTAAGCGAGACCAGAGAGTGAGGGAGAGTAAGGGAGGGAGGGACAGTAGAGGAGAGAGGGAGACTGAGTGAGTGAAGGAAGGAAAGTGGGGGAGAGAGGGAGAATAAGGGAGGAGGAGGAGGGACAGTAGAGGAGAGAGGGAGACTGAGTGAGTGAAGGAAGGAAAGTGGGGGGAGAGGGAGGGAGAGAAAATGGAAGAGAGAGGAAAAGTGGGGAGAGGGAGAGAGAGGATGGGAGTAGAGGAAGGGGGTGAGAGGGAGAGTGGCACATCATCAGGAGAGAGTGACAGCCCATCTCCCTGTGGCGGCCTTCCTCACGACAAATTACAAACCTTTATGTTTAATGGAGTCTTCTGCATGTTGGGGAGGATTTAGGGGTCTGGGGTGTTTGTGGGGGGGTCTGGGGTGTTTGTGGAGGGGTCTGGGGTGTTTGTGGGGGTCTGGGGTGTTTGTGGAGGGGTCTAGGGTGTTTGTGGGGGTCTGGGGTGTTTGTGGGGGTCTGGGGTGTTTGTGGGGGGTCTGGGGTGTTTGTGGGGGTCTGGGTGAGGGGATGTGTGTGAGGCGAGATGACGATGTGGGAGGAGGGAGAGGCAGGGGAGGGAAGGCTTTACCCACCTGAATAATGCCGAGGGGATCAGGTTAGACACTCCTGATGGGGAGGAAGACATAGAGAGGAAAATAATGGATAAAGATAATGGTTAAGAGGGGAGATGATGGGACTGGGAGACTGGAGGTTATTACAAAGGGAGGAAATAATGGGTAGAGATCGTTTATGGGGGATAATGGGTGATGGTTTAAGAGACCGTGGCGGGAGATGGGTGAATGTAATAGAGGGGGCGTGATGGTAATGGGTGGAAATAAATGGGTCTAGGAAATGGAGGGACATGGTCAGTATGGGATGGTGGATAAATAATGGGTGGATGTTAATGGGTGGAGAGAGAAAAAGAGAGAGGGAGGGAGTGAGTGTGGTGATCTAGCAGCGTTGTTGTTATGGCAGGAAGCTGACAGACTCGACACTGAGATGACGGCAACATGGCGGAGGAACTACACAAAACAATCGACCCTAACCTAACCAACGAACGAACACACACACACACACACACACATACACACACACACACACACACACACACACACACACACACACACACACACACACACACACACACACACACACACACACACACACACACACACACACACACAGTCGCGTTCGTGAAGTTTGAACCAGAGATAATGAGACATATTATCACTACTCTGTCCAATAAGGAAATACATGGGAAAATAGTATGTTATCTCTCATCTATGGCAAACAAAGATGGAGAGATATTTAAAGGTCATGTTATCTCTTACCTGTATAAATCCTCCAGAGAGATAGAGATAATTAGCCTTACCTGTTTAGTTAATATTGTGAAGGACAAGTCGGACCTCTGTCTCTCACCTGTGTAGAGATAAGTCATGTTCTCTCACCTGTGTAGAGATAAGTCATGTTCTCTCACCTGTGTAGAGATAAGTCATGTTCTCTCACCTGTGTAGAGATAAGTCATGTTCTCTCACCTGTGTAGTCCGGACTGGAGAGAGGGTTGGGATGGGTGAGCTTGTGAGCCATGGAGGAGTAGCCACTGAGAGAGTTGTAAGTCATGTGATATGGCTCTGAGTATAAGCCATTTTTGTCAAGCTCTGACCCTCCCTCAACACCCATCTGCCACACAAACAAACAAACACAAACAAAAAATAAACAAACATTAGTAAACACATCATGATTCAGGGTATAAAATGTTTATATAAATTATCCTATGTATATAATAGTGTTTATATTAATGAATGAAATTAATCTTATATTGACTACTATAAAAGACATTCCTATTTATATGTGATTAGATCCCATGTTGTAAGTAATTTGATCCCATTTTATAAGTGATTAGAATCTATAAATAGGGTTAGATTCTACTTATAAGGGATTAGATCCCATTCTGTAAAAGATTGGCCATTATATATGAGAGATTGGATTCCATTTATATATGATTAGACTCCACCACTAATCACCAGCCGTTAGTCACTATTTCGTGTTCCTAATCAGCTAAAATTAATCTGTATGACGTCACAGTAAACCAGGAAATAGAGAATGGGAAATGAAATGTAAACTTATGAACTAGTGAGTGTGTGTGTGTGTGTGTGTGTGTGTGTGTGTGTGTGTGTGCGTGTGTGTTATAAATTAATCTTCTGCCCCAAATAGTGTGTTTTAAGTAACTAGTGTAAAAAATCAGTGTATATATACTTCCGGGTCACGTAGCGTCTTGAAAACAATGGTAAAACACCGTAACTCAACCAGGAATTAAGGACAACAATTTATTGCCACGGCGACATACTGATTTTCATAATAGTTTTCAAATTATTGTTTTAATTTTCCGCTATAACCTGTGGAATTTTTTTTAAGATAAATGAGTTTAATATTATACTTTTATATATATGTACTAGAGAGAGAGAGAGAGAGAGAGAGAGAGAGAGAGAGAGAGAGAGAGATTGAAGTCTAATTTGTTTTTTCCAGAATTTGTATAATTTGGACGGACGGAAGAACGGACACCTGAACGAAAGAAGGAAGAACGGACGCACAGAGGTTAGGACACTGGGTACTGCTGGTACGTTCTCTAACCATGGCTGGGCACGTACACACCTCCAATTACTGACTAAACCTGAAGAAACACACACACACACACACCTGTTGCGTTTCATAGGCCATGTTGTCCACGAGTCAGCCGTTGTAGTACAGACCCACACTTAATAAAAAAAAAATACATCCCTCACGTACGAAAGACACTATCAGTCGGGTCAGTAAAGGCGGGGTACCGAGCTGACTAAAAGAGGGTACCAACTACAACAATACTAAAAGGTTCACAACAGGGTCTGAACCCATCTGAACCCACCAACAAGGGTTCAGATTCACATAATAAATACGTCTCAGGTGGAGATATACATAACTCGTTAATTAACCTGAAACACGAAATTAACATCTAAATATAACATTAACTTCAACCTTAATTTAACATACGATGGCTACCTGTGACGGTGTGTGTGTGTGACGCTACCTGTGATGGTGTGTGTGTGTGACGATACCTGTGACCGTGTGTGTAACGCTACCTGTGACGGTGTGTGTGTGTGTGTGTGTTTGACGCTATCTGTGACGGTGTGTGTGCGCGTGTGACGCTACCTGTGACGGTGTGCGCTATCTGTGACACTGTGTGACGCTACCTGTGTGTGTGTGTGTGTGACGCTACCTGTGACGGTGCGTGTGACGCTACCTGTGACGGTATGTGACGGTATGTGACGCTACCTGTGATAGTCTGTGTGTGTATGACGTTATCTGTGACGGTATGTGTGTGACGCTACCTGTGACGGTATGTGTGTGACGGTGTGACGTTACTAATGACAGTGTGAGAGACGCTACCTATGAGGGTGTGTGTGTGACGTTACCTGTGACGGGGTGTGTTCGTGTGACGCTACCTGTGACGGCGTACGTTGTTACCTGTGACAGTGTGTGTATGACGCTACCTGTGACGATGTGTCACGCTACCTGCATTTACGGTACGGCGATACTGCCTGTGACGGTGTATGTGTGACGCTACCTGTGACGGGTGTGACGCTACTTATGAGGGTGCGTATGACGCTACCTGTGACGGGTGTGTAACAGTGTGACGGGTGTGACGCTACTTGTGATGATGCGTATCACGCCACCTGTGACGATGCGTATCACGCCACCTGTGACGGTGTGTATGTCACGCTACCTGTGACGGATGTGACGCTGCCTGTGACGGGTGTGACGCTGCCTGTGACGGTGTGTGTGTGTGTCACGCCACATGTGACGGTGTGTATGTCACGCTACCTATGACGGATGTGACGCTGCCTGTGTCACGCCATCTGTGACGATGTGTGACGCTACCTGTGACGGTGTGTGGCACTACCTGTGACGGTGTGTGCCGCTACCTGTGACGGTGTGGTGTGTGGCACTACCTGTCACGGGTGTGACACTACCTGTGACGGGTGTGCCATACCTGTGAAAGGTGTGTGACGGCTGTGTGACGCTACCTGAGACGGTGTGTATGACGGTACAGTCTCACCCAAAAGTTGGTTAACTCTCCCAGCTAGCTATTGCTGCACTGCCTGCTTCAGATGTATGAACTTGAGTCTGTTACTTCGAACCTTTAGATTCATTCGTATCGGTTTCATGTTCTGGTTGGTACTGAGACAGTTTCAAAACATCTGAAGCAGGCAGTGCAGCAATTGCTGGCTGGAAGAGTTAACCAACTTTTGGGTGAGACTGTACCTGTGACGGGTGTATGACGCTACCTGTGGCGGGTGTTTGACGCTACCTATGGCAGGTGTGTAACGCTACCTGTGGCGGGTGTGTGACGCTACCTATGGCAGGTGTGTAACGCTACCTATGACGGGTGTGTGACGCTACCTTTGATGGGTGTGTGATGCTACCTTTGAAGGGTGTGTGACGCTACATGCGATGGGTGTGTGACGCTACCCATGATGGGTGTGTGACGCTACCTATGATGGGTGTGTGACGCTACCTGTGACGGATGTGACGCTACCTTTGGCGGGTTTGACGCTACCTTTGACGGGTATGACGGCAACTATGACAGGTGTGTGATACTACCTTTGAAGGGTCTGTGACGCTACATGTGACGGGTGTGTAACACTACCTCTGACGGGTGTGACGATACCTTTGACGGGTGTGTGACGATACCTTTGACGGGTGTGACGGTACCTGTGACGGATGTGTGACGCTACCTTTGAAGGGTGTGTGATGCTACAAGTGACGGGTGTGTAAAGCTACGTTTGGCGGGTGTGTAACGCTACGTTTGACGGGTGTGTGACGCTACAAGTGATGGTGTGTAACGCTACCTGTGACGGGTGTGACGCTTCATTTGACGGGTCTGACGCTATTTGTGACGGGTGTGACGCTACCTTTGTCGGTGTGACGTTACTTGTGACTGGTATGTGACGCTACTTAGACTGTGTGGTGTGTGACGCAACCTGTGACGGGTGACGTTACATTTGACGGGTGTGACGCTACATTTGACGGGTGTGTGACGCTATTTGTGACGGGTGTGACGCTGCCTTTGGCGGGTGTGACTACTTGTGACTGGTGTGTGACGCTACCTTGAGGGGTGTGTGACGCTACCTCTGAGGGGGTGTGTGACGCTACATGTGACGCTACCTGTGACGGGTGTATAGGCAGGGTGGTGTTGAGGCGGTAGCCGTTGGTCCTGTGAGTGCCGAGGCGTGGAGACGAGCAGAGGGAGGAGGGGCGGAGCACCGCTGGCGCCGTCAGGAACTTCTGCACCTCCTGTAGAGACCACACACACACCTGTCACGCCTCCTTGTCACTCCCAGTGGGGTGAAGGTGACAGCTGTCGCGCATCCCTGCTAGCTACTGTGATGTGTGACACACTAGGGAGCTGTAGTGGTGTGTGACACACACCAGAAAGCTTTAGTGGCGTGTGACACATCAAGGAGCTGTAGTGACACGTGACACACCAAGGAGCTGTAGTGACACGTGACACACCAAGGAGCTGTAGTGACACGTGACACACCAAGGAGCTGTAGTGACACGTGACACACCAAGGAGCTGTAGTGACACGTGACACACCAAGGAGCTGTAGTGACACGTGACACACCAAGGAGCTGTAGTGACACGTGACACACCAAGGAGCTGTAGTGACACGTGACACACTAGGAAAACACGACACACCAAGGAGCTGTAGTGACACGTGACACACAGTGACACGTGACAGTGACACGTGACACACCAAGTGAGCTGTAGTGACACGTGACACACCAAGGAGCTGTAGTGACACGTGACACACCGACACATCAAGGAGCTGTAGTGACACGTGACACACCAAGGAGCTGTAGTGACACGTGACACACCAAGGAGCTGTAGTGACACGTGACACACCAAGGAGCTGTAGTGACACGTGTGACACACCAAGGAGCTGTAGTGACACGTGACACACCAAGGAGCTGTAGTGACACGTGACACACCAAGGAGCTGTAGTGACACGTGACTCACCAAGGAGCTGTAGTGTCACACCAATACTGTACAGCGTGCGTGGTCTGACCACCACCACCATTAATATACTCAACAAGTCAACTTGGGGGACAAGAACATCAAGCAACTCTACGTGCAGTGACAACAACACTAGCAAGATCAAGTCACAAATATACTGGACTTGTAGTTGTTTATGCAGAGCCACACTTGGGGGAGAAATTTACATGTGAAAGGTGAGATCAAGCGGACGGGTGGTGGATGTGGGTGGGAGGGGAGGGAGAGATGGGGGTGGAAAGGGGGGGGGGCGACGTTCCCCTTTTAAACTGCTAATAAGGGAGGGGGAGGGAGAGAGGGAGGGAGGGAGGGAGGGACGCTACTGTTTACTCTTAGATCATGCAGAAATAAGATTACTATACAGGAGTGAACCAACCCCCCTCCCACATAATAATGACCATATTTATCTAAGTCATTCACATACTGACTGGACCCAGAGGAAACCCGGTGATGGGTGGTAGTGGTGGGTGGTGGTGGTGGTTGTAGTGGTGTCTCTCTCAGGGTGCAAAAGTCTGAGGGTGCCAACTGGTGCCACAAAAATATTTACACGATTCCATAATGACAAACGTGATGGTGCCATGGTGCAAGGGGTGGTTATGGGTGGGGGTATGGTGGTCATGGGGGAGTATGGCAAGCAAGACAAAACCTGATCTAGGAATATTGTAATGTTAGGATGTGTGAGTGATAGAATGCTGGGATAGTAGGATGATAGGATGCTGGGACGATAGGATGCTGGGATATTGAAATGTTACGATGATAGGATAGTGGAAGGGGAGGAGACGAAGCAGGATAATCGAGTAATATTGGGTTTTGTGTTTTTATGGGATGGGAAGAGAAGGAAGGATTAAGAGGAGGTAAAATATGATGATTGTGTGAACAGGGAGAGAGAGAGAGAGAGAGAGAACAAAACGAGAGGAGGGAGAGGGGAGAGGAATGACGTGAGGTGTAACAGATAAAGGGAGGAAGGAGAGAAGAAGCAATATACAAGAAGGTAAGGCATAAGAAAGAGGGGAGGGAGAGTGAGGTGATGGTGGAGAGTGATGGGAGGAAGGATGAAGGAATGGTGATAAAGTAAGAGGTGAAAAAATGGACACTTTCTTCCTTTAGGTTGACCTCCATAGCCATCAACTTCTACTTCCATCTCCCCCTACCCTCTCTCCTTCAACCCCTTCCATCTCTCCTTCCATCCCCTCCCCCACTCTCCTTCCATCCCCTCCCCCCTCTCCTTCTATGACGTCCAATGTATATGAACCACTGTCTTGCATGGCAGTGAACAGTGATATCACCCACATGACTCTGACCTATATATACTGTTAATGAATATGATGTATTTTTCTTTGTGTATGAACCTCTGTCCTGTGTGGCAGTGAGAAGAGATACCGCCCTCAGTGTCAAGATCTGACTGAATTACTCGGAATAAGCAAAGTGTACTACAAGCTTTGTCAATAAATTTGTGAAACTAAAAAAAAAATTTCCACCTCTTCCTCTACCGATGCCCTTCCACCCCCTCCCCTTCTCCTTTCACCACCTCTCCTTTTACCCCTCTCCTCCACCTCCCTCCGCCCTCTCCTCCGCCCCCCTCTCCCTCCGCCCCCTCTCCTCCGCTCCCTCTCCTTCAACCACCTCCCCCCTCCTCCAACCCTACCCCACCCTCCAACCCTACCCCCACCCTCCAACCCTACCCCCACCCTCCAACCTACCCCCCACCCCTCCAACCCTACCCTCCACCCTTCCAACCCTACCCCCACCCCTCCACCCCACCCCTCCCACTCTCCTTCCAACTGTTGTGGATCCCCTCTCACATAGGCCTCAAAGAACACGACAGAGTTGATGCCCTCACCAAACTCGCGTCTAACAAAGACACTGTTGAATACAATCTAGGTCTGTCAAAAAGAACCCTTCAAACTGTAATTAGGAAAGAACTTATTGATGAATTTGACCCAAGCAGACAAGTGCAAACTGGCACTAGTCGATCAATAGTTTACAATAATGAGATGTATCAAGTGAAACATGTATATGGAACAAGAAACAAGATTTCCCGTCGTCTTTGGTGAAAATTTCGCGTTTTCTTTGGTGAAAATTTCCCGTTTTCTTTGATGAAAATTTCCCATTTTCTTTGATGAAACTTTTTCGTTTTCTTTGGTGAAAATTTCCCGTTTTCTTTGACGAAAATTTCCCGTTTTCTTTGATGAAATTTCCCCCTTTCTTTTGTGAAATTTTACCGTTTTCTTTGGTGAAAATTTCCCGTTTTCTTTGATGAAAATTTCCCACTTTCGATGAAAATTTCCCGTTTTCTTTAATGAGAGGGGGAGGGGACTAGGGAGTGGATGGAGAGGAGAGGGTGGAGGTGAGAGGGAGGGAGGGGTGGAAGAGGGGGTAGAAGGCGAGAGGGGGTGAAAGATGTGAGAAGAGAGGCGGAGGGTTGAAACGAGAGGGGAGGGGTGGAAGGAGAGTGGGATGGGTGGAAGGAGTGTTAGGAGAAGGGTGGAAGGAGGGTGGAAGGAGAGTGGGAGGAGAGAGAAGGAGAGAGGGAGAAAGGGTGGAAGGAGAATATACAGAAGAAAAAAATAATACATATTAATTCTTGGTAATAAAGAAATGGAGTAAAAAATAATGGTTGGTAATGCAGGTGAGATAAGGTCGAGATGCCATGATAAAACACACGCACAATAGACCATCTTGAGCCTGAGTTCTATGTCTGTCTTACTCTCAAAATGATCCACGATAGTCAGTAACACCCTTATACCCCCCATCTACACCCTTACCCCTCCCCTCTACACCCTTACACCCCCATCTACACCCTTACACCCCCCATCTACACCCTTATCCCCCCATCTACACCCCTTACACCCCCCCACACCCTTACACCCCCATCTACACTCTTACACCCCATCTACACCCCTTACACCCCCCCTCTACACCCTTACACCCCATCTACACTCTTACAACCCCATCTACACCCTTACACCCTCCATCTACACCCTTACACCCCATCTACACCCCACACCCCCATCTACACCCTTATCCCCCACACTCACCCCTCTATCCTCACCCTCGCTCCTACTACAACCCCCACTTCACCCTTCAAACCCTTACCACCCCTCTATCCCTATCCTCACCCCCCACCCCTCTATTCCTATCCTCACCCCCACCCTCTATCCCTATCCTCACCCCCACCCTCTATCCCTATCCTCACCCCCCCCACCCCTCAACCCCGAGTCAGAAGGGCGTTTGAACTTTGAGAGCTAACTCACTAATGGCCACTTGACATGTGAAAAGAGAGAGAGAGAGAGAGAGAGAGAGAGAGAGAGAGATCAAATGCCCTTTATAAAACAAACAAACAAACAAACAAACACACACACACACACACACGCACACGCTAAACCACAATGCTTTAAAACAATAAGAATATAAGTATTTAATAAATGGGTATAGTAAAAACCCTTAATAAAACTCTAATAACAAGTTATTAAAGAGAGTGTGTTAAGACCGTGTCATATGTTTCTATTATTTTTTATAACATGCTTCCATGTTGTTCCTTATTATTCCTGTAATGATGTGTTATATTTACTATTATATAATCTAGTCACCTTACCCTGTGCTGTTAAGGTTTTAACTGTTATTATTTGTTCAAGCCCATCTTATTTCTTCATTTAGTATTCTAACAAGCATTCTTTGTTTCTCTAACGACCATCTGCATCGTTAAACGACCCATGTTTCACAGGCTGGTCTCATTGGCGGGAGCAGACCCTATATATAGTAGTCCACCAACAGACAGAGTTCAGTCCAGTCCTCTTGTCATTCAGTTCACGTTCGTTTGAGTGACACTTGTCACCTGTTACTTATACTTAAATTTATTTCTGTGTTGTTCCTGTCACCACCAATGTGGTATATCTATGTGAGTACCTATTTATGTCTCTTATGTGTCCATCAGGGCTTGCTTAGTTACATTTAAGTAATTCAGTATTGTTTGACTATAGTTAATTTGAGTGTTAGTTATTTTATATGTTTATGCAGTGTTAACGTAACCCAATGCTTTATTTTTATTCTTTTGATGTTTCGATGTTTTAGTAGCATTTGTGTCTTAAAAGTTTCGATGGTGAATAAATTTGTTGTGACAGCCTACGAGGCTCTTTATTGTGTTAATATTTAATTTAATTAAATTCTAAAGGTTTACTTTATTTATTTTTATTCCCTTTTGATTTACTTCACTTTTTTTTGTTTGGTTACGCCTAGAACCTGGATATTAAAGTAAATTAAGAGACGGCGTAACAAGAGACAGAGAGAGAAGTAAAGAAGAAGTAGAGAGAGAGAGAGAGAGACCCCTCTTATAAAACATACACAGTACAAACTCGGAGGTCAGGGCAGGACAGATCGAGAAGTACAAGTCATTAATCCTAGGGAAAAGAAAACGAGATGTCAGGCTACAAAAGAAAGGGGAGGGGGACGAAAAGGGGGAGGAGGAGGACAAAGAGGAGGAGGAGGACAAAGAGGAGGAGGAGGACAAAGAGGAGGAGGAGGACAAAGAGGAGGAGGAGGACAAAGAGGAGGAGGAAGAGGAATAGTTCGTCTTGACCCATCGTATAAAAATAAACTCCACAGGAAAAAATCTTAGCCAGGAGGAGGACAACAGAGGCCAGGAGGACAGTAATGGCGTCAACACTCGCCTCTGGCCTGGAGATCCTTGACAATAGTGGTCCAGTCAAGAGATAAATAATGGCCGGCGATTATCTCTCTCTCTCTCTCTCTCTCTCTCTCTCTCTCTCTCTCTCTCTCTCTCTTTAATAATAATAAAATTGAATAGGTTTTTATTAAGGGTTTTTACTATACCGATTTATTAAGTACTTATATTCTTATTGTTTTAAAGTATTGTGGTTTAGCGTGTGTGTGTGTGTGTGTGTGTGTGTGTGTGTGTGTGTGTGTGTGTGTCCTATTTATCCGTCTGATCTTTGATCTCTTATTGCTTCCTTCCCATCTACTCCATTCTAATATCGTTTTTCCTCTCCCATTCCTCCCATTTCTTCTATTTTTACCCTTCCCTCCCTCTACATTTCTTTCTTTTCTACATTTCACTCTCCCTCATTTCTTCCCCATCCCTCTCTTATTCACCCCCTCCCTCTCCTCCTTCCCTTATTTCTACCCCTCCCTCTCCTCCTTCCCTTATTTCTACCCCTCCCTCTCTTATTCACCCCCCTCCCCCTCCTCCTTCCCTTATTTCTACCCTCCTCTTATTCACCCCTCCTCTATCTACCTACTCCCCTCCCCCACCTACCTCCTCTCCTCCCCCACCTTTACCTCCTCCTCCTCCCCCCACCTTTACCTCCTCCCTCCCCCACCTTTACCTCCTCTCCCTCCCCACCTTTATCTCCTCCCTCCCCCCACCTTTACCTCCTCTCCTCCCACCTTATCTCCTCCCTCCCCCCACCTACTATTCCCTCCCCCACTCACCTTTGTTGACAATATCCCTTCTCCATATGGACCGGTGAAGATATCATGTGTGATGGTGCCTGCCTTCTGACGGCGTGACCTCCACACGATTAACAGGATAGCCGACACTAGCAGGATGATCACGGCGACCAGCACCCGATCACCAGGCCACGTACCCTGACCCCGCGGCTGATCAGGGATGTCCGTCACAACTGTTAGGGAAGTCATAATTGGGTCATTACTCGATGGTTGATGGTAATTTGATGGGTGGGTGGGTGGTGAGTGGTTGGTTGGGTGGGTGAGATGGTTCGGAAGGTGAATGAGAGGGTATATGGGTGGTGGTGGGTGGGTGGTGGATGGTTGGGATAGGGTGGTGGTGGGTGGGTGGTGGGATCCTAGGTGAGTTATGAGGTGTAGGGGTTTATAAGGTAAATGGGTGGCTAATATGTTGTTAATGGGTGGCTAATAGGACGTTAATGGGTACTTTAATGGGTTATTTGTAATGTAGATGAAGACATGTATGTCTTAATGGGTGTGTTGTGGTAATTAATGGGTTCTGGTTCCTGTGGCAGTAAGAAGTGTCCTCGCGGTTGTTAATGGGGAAGTAATGGGTTATTCTGACCTACTGATGACTCAAGGAGGAAAGGGAGTATTGTTGGCAACAGTGTAACTAGGGGCAAGAGAGAGACGACCATGGACAAGAGGAGACCCACGGGGCAAGAGGGGTGAGCCACGGGACAAGAGGAATGATTTACGGGGCAAGAGTGACCCACGGGGGAGAGGGGAGACTTACCTAGGTTCTTATGGTTCTCCTTGCCGAGGGTCTCCCCGAAGTGGACGTACCCAGAGGAGGAGTCATTAGGGAGACGCCCCGGCGGTCTGGCGGGTCGTCGTCCACCCCCGTCTCCACACTGAAGTTACCCTGGGCTGGAGCTGGCGGGGCGGAGGACAACTTATTAGAAGATTTTTTAGTAAATATTGTTTAATAACTAATTAGCACACACACACACACACCACCCGGTGCCTCCATGACCAGTGAGGCCATCCAGGGTTGTGGGGTGGTGGGTTTGGTGTACACCACACCACCCGGTGCCTCCATGACCACATGAGGTCCTTCATCTCAACACCAGAGGACGAGTTACTACACCACG